GTTTAGTGTAAGCTTATCAAATCTTTCCTGAGAGCAAAATTTAAGAGAGGGAATTGGAAAGAGAACACCATTATGGGGACCACTTGGGGCCCAAGAAGGGAGGGAAACATGGAAGGGGTAAAAATGAAGAAAGGTGAAGCAAGGGCCTCGAAGACAAATTACACTTACTTTACAATCTGTCTCTTACTAGAACTCATCACCTTTATTCAGTTTGTGACCAGAAGTAATGATATTCTCAAGTCACAAGGACCCAGGTTCCCCCTCAGAAGCTGGCCAGGGGCCAACAGTGGGAGGCAAACATCAAACCAATAGCTTCAATATCCCATTGGAGCCATATCAGTCTCCGGGCCAGCCAGGAGGAAAGGGAAACCACCAGCCTGTGAGATGAGCCAACTCTATTCCGGCAATCAGTGATAGATGTGGAAGCCAAATGGTCTTCATATCCGGGCACCAGGCAGGTTGAACATTCTCTTAACTCTCTACCTACCACTGTCTGGGATCAGTCATTTCACTTTAAGAACTAACTAGATATAACATTTTAGTAGCATAATCACTAAAAAATTTTACAAAGACTGGATTTATATGAATTTAGCGTTGAGAACAAGCAGAACTGTTGTCATTCTCTTTGCAAAGACTTGGCAATTCTTATCATATACTTTTTTAAAAAGATAAAATTGTTGCAAAAATTTATGAAATCCCTATTTTTCAGATCGCTAAACTGAGATATAAGAAAGTTACCAAGATCACAAAGTTTATCATACACAAACTCACTGTTAATCTTCCATCCTGAGAGCCCCTTTCCCCCAAGCACTCCTGCCTCCTGTATTCTTCACCAGAGGCCTCCACCGACTCCAGTGGTGTTGAGCATTAATGCGCACCATGTCCCCCTCTGCCCCCAATGAAACTCAGGCTAAAATTACCTCTAGTCCAGTTTTACATGGTGCCTTTAAGTTGCAATTTTTCATTTTCTAAATACACTAAGAAGGTAAAAATTCGAACAGTACAAAAGAATAAGTGTAAATAACTTCCTCTCCCTCCCTCCTCTCTTGATCTCCAGTCCCTCAAGTCCCCTTGCCAGAAACAATCAATTATCCATTTCTTGAGCATCCTTCCAGACATAGTCTGTGCATATATAATATACATGGATAAAATTTTAGACCGCTCTGTCCTTTAAATTGCAAAATCCTACAGTGAATTCCCAGAAATGTAATTGGCATAGAACCTTATAGGGACACAACATATATGTTAGAAATGTCCCACATCCAGGCAGGTGTGGGGGAAGGGACAAGGTTTCTCACAATGATCTCAAACCATAAGAGAGACACTCGTCATTTTTAGATCTGCCATCTTTTCTGAACCCACTTTTAGCCTATATCCACTCTAGAAGCAACAGCTTTCGTAAAAGTATTACTCATGGATTTAAAATAATATTTCACTACCTGTATGGGCACTATTTTTTGCTTCAAAAGAAAGCCCAAAATTCTAATAATTCAGGATCTAACAAGCAAATCCATATTTTCCCTATCTATGTGCTTCATTATTTTGTACACTTCGAACCTGTCTCCTCTAAGCCTTTGTCCTTCTGGACCAAGAAGTCTTCTTCCTAACTAACTAAATGAGAAAAACATTACTCCTGATGGCTCACAGAAGGCGCCTGAGAGACTTACAACCCCAGCCTCAGGCAACTTGAACCTTCTATGTTTTTAAAATCAGGTGGGTGATGTTTGCTAAAACAGGGCATCAGCAATCATGCATGTGGTAACTAAATCCCTATTTAGGGCAAATAGAGCGATCACGCTAGGAGGGCATGGTGGTTGGCACCGCCACTTCAGTTAAACATTAGCTGTCTTCAAGGTCAGCAGTTTCTGATTTCCCAATCATCCTCTCCATCCTCTGACTCAGTTCCTTCTCTTTAAGTCTGCATCCTTCATTCATACAGCATGGTGGGCAAGAACTTGGCCTTTGGAGGCAGGCAGACCTGAGTTTGAACTCCAGTTCTGTCAGTAATTAGCCATGGGACCTTTACCAAGTCACTTAAACTTATTAAGCCTCAGTTTTCTTATCTATAAAAGGGGAATAATAAAAATGGCTCTCTAATTGGGTCATTAAGAGGGTTCAATGGTATAATTTTTGTAAAGCACTAAACACAATGACTTGCAACAGGGCCAGCTACATAATCTGTGGGACCCAATGGAAAATGGACATGTGGGGCCCCTTGTTCAAAAATTATTAAGGATTTCAAGATGGTGACAGCAGAGCATGGAACCAAGTGTGGGGCCCTGTAGGAGTGCATGGGTGGCAGGGCCATGAAGCCAGCTCTCCCTGTCAGATAATAAATACTCAGTAGATGGTAGCTATTATCATATCTTACCACTTTCCTAACTTATATCTGCACCTTACCCTCCCTGCAGGCTCTCATCTCCCTACACAATGCCCAATCCAATCAACTTAGCAAGTTTCACTGGGCCATTCCAAACACAGACATTGTGTCTCAGAAGTAACCTGCATTTACAAGGAAAATAACTGGCCAAAGTAGGGGGATCTAAGACAGAAGGTGACGTTACCACAGGTTCATGCCAGATACACTCCCACCTTAGAGCCTTTGCTCTGGCTTTTCCTCCTGCTGAGCTAACATTCTCCCCTCTTTCAAGCCTTTGTTCAGATCCACTTTCTATGGGATGCTTATTCTGATCAGTCAATTCAAAATCATATTTTGCCCTTCCTCCATCCTATGTTCTCTATTTCCTTTACCTTGACCCGCTTTTACTTCTTCTATAGCACTTATATTGTCTAACATACTATATAATAATATTTCTTATTATGGTTATCATTTATTATCTTCCCTTACACACACATCCCACCCCCCCCAAGAATGAAAGCTTTTCAAGGTCAAGAATTTTTGTCTGCTTTTGTTCATTGACGTATCCCAAGTGCCCAGAACAGTGTGTGGCATACAGAAGATATTCAATAACTATTAATTGGAAGAATAAATCTTTGAATGAATGCATAACCAGGTCATCCTTTCTCCACCTGGAGGTCAGGCCATTCTACATTATGGACAAATAGAATAAAAACTAGCTCTGCAACTGGATACCCAACAGAGTTCAAGAAACAGATGGGAAAGTTATCTCTTTTCAAATCTCTGCCAAACTCCCCTGAGTTTAGAAGGAATATAATCCAGTCGTCTGTGCTACCAAATCCACTACCCCTTTAACACTAATTCAAATATACAGTTTGTTGGCAATGACTTGCAGCAATGATGAGTGCCATTTTATACGAGTGAGGTGCCCAGAAGAGACACGACCCTATGTGACAGACATAAAAGTCATTTAAAAAAAATAATATTAGACACATCACTGCTTCATTACAATGACGTAGAGAAACTAAGCCCTTAATACTAAAAGGAATGTAAGGTCTCTAACCCTGAAACTGTGCATAAAGATGCTAATTAGAGCCAGTCCAAGCTGTTCGGCCTGGAGTTAATGTCACAGTCACAGGTAGCATCTCAAACCCTGGCCTGTGATCTCACATATGTAAGTCACGGGGCCCGAGAAAGGGAACGTGGACGCCTGTGCATAATTCATTCCACCAGCTGAAAGACAACCCCAAAGCTGTAGCATTATAGCTGCTGGATGGGACATCTTCACAATACGTTTAAGAACAAAAGAGAAGAGCTGCCCCTCCACAAATGGTTAAAATGCAGCCCATGTCAGTAGAAACATCTGGAGCACCCAATTATCAGAAGATATTTGAGGGCCAATGTGCTCTAAGTGCTGTATGGACGACAGGAAGCACATCTGGGCCTCCAACCCAAAAGCAGCCCACGTGGTCCCCACAGGATAGGCTCAGTGAGCAAAGCTGGGCGGATCATACCACACATCTGGCTTTTTGCCCCAGCGGGAACCACCACTCCCTCTCGGCCCTGCACTCTCTATTTTTTAAACAAGCCATTCTCGGCCACCACAAATGCTTTGGTGGGAATCACAGGGAGGCCCTCATCCCTTTTCCCAAAATAACGTCAGCCAGAGGCAAAGGCCAAAGAGGTGGAGCCTGCAGGCCATTTTGCAAAAGTTTCAAATATCCTGGCACTGACCCCATTAAAAGAATCATGAAGGGGACGCAGCCAAGCCTCTCGTTTTCTCATTAGTGTTCTCTTTCTCTAATTACAAACTCTGCATTTATAAAAAAGAAACAAAGAGATCTCACATAAAGTCATATTGTCAGTGCTGGCTGTTGGAAACACAATTTCATTTTGCAAATTTAATACCAAAAAATTGAAATTGAAAACTTGAAATGTGCATGCTCTGTGACAGTTTAATCCCCAAAGGGGTCTCTGAGGCATAAGACTGAAAAAGGAACTGGTGAGCTGTTCCACCTTCTCCAAAGTCTTCCTGAAATATGCAACCGCCTCAGATTTTCCATACTCCTCTGCTGATCTTTCCTCTGAAGAGGGAGGAAGCAGATTTCTTGGCTATACAGTTAAAAAAGCCAAATAAAGTGGTCTTCCTTCTAATGTGAAGGAGTCTTTCCACAACACACACACATAGAGGTGTACTTCTTGAAATATACGTAAGAAAGCAAAGCGGGAGTGGGGGGGATATGACAGCGAAGGAAAGAAAATGCTACTTTATTTTGTTTGTTTTTTTAAAAGCTTCCTACAAAAATCATTAGCAAACTAAACAGAGACATATCATTTTCAAATATGCTTTACAGTACTGATAGCAATAGGAAATGATATTACAGATGTGAAAAAGCCTCGGAAAAAAGTATAAATTGCTAAAGGAATACAAAGTGTCATTACTATTATTAAAAGCTTAAAAGGGCCAGCGGCCCACCTTTATCTGTTCAGATAGAAAAACCACCTCTTTCCCCAGATCTCTTCATTCTGGGCATGGCTCTTCCCAAATACTTCCTTCCTAGCTCCCTGTCCCCAACTGTTCCTTTGGTGACAACACTTCCCCCTTTCAAGCCGCCCCTTCGCCGCCCCGCTGAGTCCTCACCGTGTGATACATGAGAGCCTCGGTTTCCCCGGGCTCTGACAGCTCGCTCAGCTTGCGGTCCCACTGCAGGACGCTCTGCTCCCCGCTCTCCAGCACCTCCATGATGGTCCGAGGCGCGCTGGGCCGAGGATGCTTAGGGCAGGAGGGGAGCCGGCAGAGCCGCCTCGAAGGGCGATCCGGCTCGCGCGCTTGCCTTGCGTGTGTGTTTGTGTGTGCGTGTGTGTGTGTGTGCGTATGCGTGTAGTTTATGCACTTAGGAAGGAAAACGTTGGCTCCTCTGCCTGAGGGCTCCCGTCCGGTGTCCTCCGGGATCCCGGGGGAGACAGGCTGTCCAGGGGTGAGAGTGAAGGCTGAAGGGGTTAAAGCAGGGAGAGCATCCCAAATGAAGGCAGGAGATAAGCTCTCATCCCAAGAAAATCCCTTCGCAATAAGCCCACTTTCCGCTACTGCTCCAGACACAAACTTTGAGACTCCCCAGAGCTCCTCAGCTCTGCTCCAGGACCCAGTACGACTCCACCTCCCTCCGGCGTAGTGACCAATCGGATACGCACATCGCCTGACTCACCCAATCAGAAGTCTTGCTCTCCATCCTGTCCCGCCCCCAAAGGCAGGGCCACCGGGAAGTCTCCGCCCAGGCTGTGGAATGTGGTGGGGGGAGCGCCTTTGACGTCACCGGAGAACTCCTCCTGCTTGCGCACAGGCAGCTACGGCTGTCTGAGGCAGCGGACCAATGGAATGCTTGGATCCGGGAGTGATGGACTGAGGGCGTGGCCAATGATAAAGGGGCTCCTGGGGCGGACAGCCAATCAAATAGCGACAAGAATACATTTTATAAAAGAGGGAGGGTAAACCCACTCCTTTGCTGAGAATCCACAGAAAGGAGCGCCGGCGTGTAGAGCAAGAGAGCTGCTGTGTGGGCAGATTTATATACTGTCTTAAATATTTCCAAGTTGATTAGCTCGTTTGAGTCTTTCAGGATTTTTAAAAATTGAATTACATATTATACACAAGTATAACTATTTCCCATTGTGCATGAATTTGTATTAGCACATTCTACCAAATTGTTCTTCACATTTTTTGCCCCCTTTTATTATGCTTTTCTCCTGACATGATTTTTATGGGCTTCACTTATTCTATTTTTTCTCTCGTTCACTCAACAGACGCTATAAGAGCCAATGGCTTGCTTTTCCAGGTCCTAGAACAGTGAGCTAAAGAACTTGAAGTCATACAGCTTTTATCTCACTGTAGGAGTCAGGCAGATAAAGAAATAAAGGCATAAGTTCCGAAAGTGGTAACTGCTATGAAGAAAAATAAAAGCAAGGTAACAGGATGGGTGGGTCCAGGCTATTTTAGATAGCAATCAGGGAAGTTCTTTCCGGGTAGGTGATATTTTAGCACAGACCTAAGTGAAATGAAGTTTGGAGAGGAGCTGGTGTTTTGCTGACTGACAGGGAGGCCAGTGTGGCTGCAGCATGGTGTGCCATGTGAGCGATGGGAGAGGAGGCCTGAGAGATGGACAGAAGCCAGACCACCAAGCCTGCTTAGATCAGGGAAGAGAGAGCCTATTCTAAAGTATTTTCCTCCAACACTGTGATTTTTCTTCCTCCTTTTGAGGAAAGAAAGTCCTTGAAAACATAGTTTGCTCATGTTACATATAAAGGAGTCATTGGTAATTGTTTCTAGAAGTTTCTTACAATGGAGCATTCAGGTGTTCTGTATTACTTTGCTTCGCAAGTATTTTCTGGTGGGTGGAGGCAGTCAAATGTCTTAGAATTCCATGTTGTCTTAAAGCTGCAGTTTATCATGGAAACTATTCCATTTGTCCCCTCCTATCTCCTGAGTCTTTTGAGAATATTTTAATGCTTTAGTAGAAATTCTAGCTAATGGGCACACACCTTCCTTGTATAATAGTTTTCTCATTTTTTTCTTGGTCCTTGGTTTTTATTTTCCAATCTGCTGCTTCCCTCACCACATCCTTTTCATAGATCACCTTTTCAACTTTTAAAGACCTTTCCTATGTTTTTAGCATAACAGTCGACATGAGCAAGTGAGGTAAGAAACATGTACACCCTCCTTAATATTGGGATACAAACATTTATCTATCAGACATTTCTGCTTTTGACCAAGTCAGCCTCTGGTTATGTTACTGAACCGGAAGTGGGTTCACTCACCCATCACGCAGCAAGCCAATCTCTGACACCAGGTGTAGTGGAAGAAAGTAGGAATTATTGCAAAGCGCTGAGCAAGGAGAACAGGCAGCTAATGCTGTAATCCTAACTCCCAGAAAAGCTACAAGCAAGGGTTTTTATTTGGGGTTTTAGGTAAGGGAGGGGAGCACGTGGCCTTGGGGGCTGAAGTTTTAAGAGTCCTTTGCGCAGGTGTGACTGTCTTTCATATTTCTTCATGGGTCACACGCAAGTTCATGGGGGTTCTATGTGTTGCATGTGGTGGATTTTTAGTCTGTGACATCTAAAGTTTACAATCAGTCGTTTTAACCTCTCAATGCTCTTGTACAATGCTTAGTCAAGTTGGGGGGGGGTGCTGTCAGTAAGCTGGTCTCTTATCAGTGGTCCTCCTGCTGTTCTGCAAAGCAAGCTCACAAACTTTGGTTACTTTGTTTCCCACTTTAACCTTGTGGGTACAAGACATGGTTTCACCCTAATCTAGGGAAAATTGAACTCATTGTCCTTGGTTTCAGTTATTCCCCATGTGGTAGGCAGCTTCTAAGATGGCTCCAGTGATCCTGCCTCCTGGTGTTCACACCCTGTATAACTCCGTCCCCTGTGTGTGGGCTGGACCTGGGGACTTCCTTCTAACAAACAGAATATAGCAAAAGTGATGAGCTGATAAAAAAAAAAAAAAAAGATTCTAACCCCTGACTTACTTGTTCTCTCTTCTTCTCTTGGTCTCTTTCTCTGAGGGAAGCTGGGTGCCATGTTGTAAGCTGCTCTTTAGAGAGGCTCACATAGCAAGGAAGAGAGGAAGGTGTCCAGCCAACAGCCAGCAAGGAACTGAGGCCCTCAATCCAACAACCCACGAGCACCTGAATCCGGCTAATAACCTAATCTGAGTGAATGTGGAAGCAGATCCTCCCCGAGCCCAGTCCTGAGATGACTGCAGCCTGTGAGAGACCTGAGCCAGAGGACTCAGCTAAGCCACATCCAGGTTCCTGACCCACAGAAACTAAAGGGAATAAATGTATTTTGTTTTAAGCCACTAAGTTTTTCCTTTATAAAATAAGTAATATAATCATTGCACCCTAAATGTTTGATTAAATATATCTATACTCTAATAATAGTGTCACGATCCCTAATGGTGAGTCTTTTCAGCCTCCTTTATTTCTTGTATCCTTCTCCTGTTCAATATACACAAGACTTCTCACCAGCCCATTTCTTGTTCTGCATCCTGACTCCAGAGTCTGTCCCTTTCCCCCTCATTCTTAGGACTTAACAATTTAGTTGACTCTTTTTCCAGCTTCTCTGGCATCCTTTAAAAAGTAGCAGCATTTGCTCCCCATCTGCTCGTTTTTCTTTTTTTAACTGAGATATAACTGACATACAACATTATATTAGTTTCAGGTTTACAACATAATGATTTGATATTTGTATATATTGTGAAATGATCACCACAATGTGTCCAGTTAACATCCGTCACAACACATAGTAACAAATTTTTTTTCTTGTGATGAGAACTTTTAAGATCTACTCTCTTAGTGAAGGTTTAAATAAATAAAATTAGAAATGAAAGAGGAGAAATTACAACAGACACCTCAGAAATACAAAAGATTTATAAGAGAATACTGCAAAAAGCTATAGGCCAACAAATTGGATAATCTAGAAGAAATTCTTAGAATCATACAACCTTCCAAAACTGAATAAAGAAGAAATAGAGAATTTAAATACACCAATCACCAGCAAGGAGATCGAAACAGTAATCAAAAACCTCCCAAAAAATAAAAGTCCAAGACCACATGGCTTCCCTGGTGAATTCTACCAAACATTCAAAGAAGACTTAATATCTTTCTCAAACTCATTGAAAAAATTGAAGAGGAAAGGAAGCTTCTCTTTCTACAAGGCCAACATTACCAGACAAGGACAACACAAAAGAAGAAAATTACACAACAATATCACTGATGAACATTGATGCAAAAATCCTCAACAAAATACTAGCAAATCGAACACAATGATACATTAAAAATATCATACACCATGATCAAGTGGGATTTATTCCAGGGATGCAGGGATGTTTCAACATCTATAAATCAATCAATGTGATATACCACATTAACAAAATGAAGAATAAAAATCATATGATCATCCCAATAGATGCAGAGAAAGCATTTGACAAGATACAGCATCCATATGTGATAAAAATTCTGAATAAAATGGGTATAGAAGGAAACTCCTCAACATAATAAAGGCCATAAATGACATACCCACAGCTAATATCGTACTCAACTGAGAAAAACTGAAAGCTATCCCTCTAAGAAGAGGAACCAGACAAGGATGCCCACTTTTGCCACTCTTATTTAACATGGTATTGGAAGTCCTAACCATAGCAATCAGGCAAGAAAAAAAAAATAAAAGAGATCCAAATTGGAAAGGAAGAAGTGAAACTGTCACTATTTGCAGATGACATGATTTTATATATAAAAAACCCTAAAGAATCCACCAAAAAACTTTTACAAATAATAAATGAATATGGTAAAGTTGCAGGATACCAAATGAACATAAAAAAATCAGTTGCATTTCTATACACTAACAACAAAGTAGCAGAAAGAGAAATTAAAATACAATCCCATTTATAATTGCAACAAAAAGAATAAAATACCTAGGAATAAATTTAACCAAAGAGGTGAAAGATCTGTACACTGAAAACCTTGTTGAAAGAAATTGAAGAAGACACAAAGAAATGGAAAGATATACCATGCTCTTGGGTTGGAAGATTTAACACAGTTAAAATGTCCATACTTCCTAAAGCAATCTACAGATTCAGTGCAATTCCTATCAAACTTCCAATGACATTTTTCACAGAAATAGAACACAGAATCCTAAAATTTATATGGAACAACAAATGACCCTGAATAGCCAAAGGAATCCTGAGAAAAAAGAACAAAGTGCGAGGATCACAATCCCTGACTTCAAAATATACTACAAAGCTATAGTAACCAAAACACATGGTACTGGCACAAAAACAGACACACAGATCAATGGAACAGAATTGAGAGCCCAGAAATAAAACCATACATCTATGGACAGCTAGTTTTTGACAAGAGACCTAAGAACATACAATGGAGAAAGGAAAGTCTCTTCAATAAACAGTGTTGGGAAAACTGGACAGCCACAAGCAAAAGAATGAAAGTAGACCATTATCTTACATCATATACAAAAATTAACTCAAAATGGATTAAAGATTTAAATGTAAGACCTGAAACCATGAAACTTCTAGAAGAAAACATAGGTGATACGCTCTTTGACATAGGTCT